ACCAGTCAAACCACTGAGCATTAGATAGGCTTAAAGATTTGTTTTGTTTTGTTTTGTGATATTGGGGTTTAAGACTTAAAGATATTATCTCTGTTTTATCCTGCAGTCATTAGAATTATGTGTAACTCTTATCAGGCCTGAAAAATGGAAGGTTTTTATTTGTTTGTTTGCTTGCTTGTTTGTTTTATCTTTCTCAACTAGGTTTAAGATTTTCATTGAGAGATTTTACTTAATTTTATTCTTTTACTTCATTAGCTTCTTAGTCCAAGTCTCTTAGTGTGCATTCTTCAGTGCATTATGAAATGAGAGGTTTCTGTATTTGAAGGTTGAGGCCTTTGGTACAAAGTACACTCTTTTAAACAGAAGATGGACATTTGCAAATCATGAAAAATGGAAAGACTAAAAACTTCTTCGTTTTCTGCTTCCTATTATAGATGCAAAGTATAGTTGGATAGTTGAACACCTCTTAAGTTAATCTCACTTCAGCAGGATTTGATTCTCGAGGAGACACAGTTACCTCATCAGTTCTCATGGTCAATGTCTGCTTGCCAGTCAGGTCCCCTACAAACACTTGATTTTTGTTGTTGTTGTGTTTTTGTTGTTTTGTTTTGTTTTTTGGTGGTGGTTGTTTTTGGCAGTTCTGGAGTTTGAACTCAGAGCCTTGGACTTGCTAGGCAGGTACTCTACTACTTGGGCCACACCCCCAGCCCCAAGCATGTTTTTCACAATAGCATCCAAGTGTGTACTGGTTATAAATGCTGCTTGAAGAATCCACTAAATTCTCCAGTATATAAATTATTTTTTAAGTAAACCAGTGGGCACTTACGAAATACTTTGTTCTCAAGAAGAGTAAACTTGTCTTCTTTCACACAAAGGTACTCCTACTAGAAATAATTGAAAGAAAATAGATTAAAAGTAAATTTAGAAAATGGAACTGAAAACTTAGAGCATCCGCTCATTTTGAGAATTATGATAATGCTCATGTGAGCTAACTGGTATTCCTCTAAAATTCTTGATGTGTGCATCCGTTATGTACTCACTACTATAGGCACCAGAACTTCCCATATATAGCAACCCCTGAAATGTAGTTGTTACAATGCATTTGTTTCTTAATAATTTCAAAATGAAATTGTACATTCTGTACATAGATTCTGTAATTGTTGTGGTTGCATCCACACACACACAGTAGTGGGCTCCGTGATTGAAACTCACAAGTTCAGGTTCCTAGAGGTAGAATGCAGGTACAAGGCTGGAGTACGTCAGGGACTGCACTGTCAAAAACTCATCCAAAAAAACTGATGGCTTGGAAATTTAAAAAAAGTAAACTGGACCTTCAGCACAGAAGTTTAAGAAACACCAGTCTAGAACATTGTCTAGTTATATAATAAATACTCAGTATTACTTAGTGAGTGAACAAGAAGGTGACATTCCTTACGAATATTTCTTTATGCTTAGGTATTGTGTTTGACTGTTGACTTATCCAATTTATTCCCCCAATACTGGGGACTGAACTCAGGGCCCTGCTCGCTAGGCCAAATCCCAGTCCTTCTTCATTTTTTTTTTTTTTTTTGAGGTACTGGAGTTTGAGCTCAGGGACAGTCCTTTTGCTTTAGTTTGTTTCTGAGATAGGGTTTTGTAATAACTTTGCCTGGGTTGGCCTTAAACCTTGATCCTTCTCCCTCCATCTCTGGAGTAGCTGGGACAGGACAGCATGTGCCCTGCATGTCCAGTTCTTATCTATTATCTGTAATAAAGTGAATAGACATTGGATTAGGAGTCCTTCACTGACTAAGCTTGTTATCTATCTGTCAGTCAGCTTTTCTCAATCTCATTCAAGTTTGAATGGGACAGTGAGTATCAAGTGCTTTTTGTAAAACTGAGTTTAAAATGTTAGTTTTCATCATTAGTAGCATAAAACATTCTCTCTCAAGTCTAACATCACCAAACTTCTCTATAAAATATGAATTATGAATAATCTAAAGACTATTGATTAGGAATATATTACACAGGAAGAAACTATTGCCAGTAAGCAAAAGGTGGTTTGAGGAGTCTTTGCTCCTGTTTCCTGCATGAGGAACAGGAAATACTTCCCTCTCTTTTCTCCCCCTCTTCCTCTCCTAATAAACTTTACTGTTACTTTTACTAAGAAAAAAAAAATGTGGTTTGACTAAAACCCTAGTTCTCTGCTGGCTAATACTTCTGCACACCATTATGTCCTCATCATATGTAACCATGATGGGAGACCCTCAGAATCCAGAAATCCCTTTGATTTTAAATCTTTAAAAAATTTATTCACATGGCCATTTGGCACTTGCCTATCAACAAGAAAATATTATTAACCAAATTTTCCTGTGTCTACCAGTAAAAGTTTATTAAGTACTGTCGTTGCCCGCAGATGGGATGAGGTTTTCTCCAAAATTATCTACCCATCAGAAAAGAGAGAATTGCTTTGTATTTGGGTTCTCACAAAGCCATATTACGGAGCTCTCTGAATTACATATGTTTGGAAGCAAAATGCTGCCTCAAGAAAACATTAGCATGAAAATTATCTTAAACAATGTTTTTAGATGCTCGTAAAGCTCTAATTGCTAGAAGAGGTAACAAAGAAGTTTAATATGAACTTAATAATTTATTCCTGACAATCATTAGTGTGGCTATTAATGTTAATAAGCTTTTTAAAAACAATATGTTGTACAGGTCAAGAGGAAACATCTCTAGATGCAGTAGATGTACTACTGTGCAAATGGATAGTTTCTCAGGCATCTGTTATGGGATGAATTATGTCCCCCTACCCCCAACATTTTTTGTTGAAGTCCTAATTCCTAATGTGACTGTGTTTGGAGACAGGGCCTTAAAAGATTTAAAGTTAAATGAGGTCATTGAGATGAACCCTAAGCTAATTTCACTAGAGAAAATAGGAGATTTGGGCACAGATGGGTACAGAGGAAAGACCATATGGGAACATAGCAAGAGGGCTATTGCAAGGCAGGAAGAGAGGCCTCTGCAGAAACCACATCTACTGTCACCTTGACCTTGGATTTCAGCCTCCAGAACTGTGAGAAAATAAATTTCTGTTGTCTAACCCACCTAGCCTGTGGTACTATGCTATGGAAGGTCTAACAGACTAACAGAGCATCTACACGCCAGCTCAAATGGTGTATTGTCACAAACAAGGTATTGGGAAGTTCAGCTGGCATGTCCTGGGAAACTTCTAGATGACTCAATGGCCCTAGTGATGAGGAAGAACAGTGGCACCAACATTCATGAGAAGTTTGAAATTGTTTCATAAGAATGGAAAAAGTGATGTCTTAAAAATATTTTTAATCAAAGTATTTTCAATTATTTCATCTAAGTTTACTACTTGAGTTTGCCAAAAGAACTTCTTTTGATGAGTTTTTGTTGGGGGAAATGGGAATTTGCTTTGTAATGAGAAATTATGCAAATACAGTAAGCCCACCTTATTCACAGATTTATCACACAGTTTTGACAAAGCCTGGTCAAAAAAAAAAATCAGTACATTTTAAAAACCAGAAGAAACTTCAGAGTCAAATATTTTTTAATTCCTGCACACTTTCCTCAGCTCAGTGGACACAGGGAAGCTCTCAGTCATCCTGTGTTATGGTCAGTTGTGCTCAAATCTTTGTGTGATCTGCTGTTTCCCTGAGCCTTAATTTTATGAAAACCTGCCTCCCCCAAAGCAAATGACGCCCACAAAGCTAGGTAAAGGTTAATGTGCTTAATTGAAGTGGTAGAGTGAAAATTTGAGATTTGTTAAAAGGCAGCATATCTTTAGTAGAAAATGGGCAGGGCTATGGAAAAATGAATCAAGCATCCACAGTACAGCACTAAACTCAAGGGTGGTCACCTTGGAACCACAGACCTGCAGATACCAAGTGTCTACTGTAGGGTAATTTCCAAGTTAGAATAAAGTACATTCCTGCATATGCTACTATTTAGTGTTGATGCTCAGTCAAGTTAACTTTGAAATGAAACTGACATTATCATGTATAGAATTCACTTTAATAAAGTGAGTTTTAAGTATGACAGTATTTACTGTTTGGGTAAATTCAGTTAGGGTTCATCTCTAGAATTTATAGACATACACATTAAGAACTCTTTTAAAATAATAAATATAATTAAAACCTCTGGCCTGACATCCGTTGTCACTGGCCATCCTTCTGCCTGGCATAGGGGCTGCCAGTGTGACAGTATGACAACTGTTTTCTGGTTCACAGAAAATTCTGGCATTCACCGAGGACAAATGCAGATGTCTAGTGATGGTTTTCCATTTCTTTTGCTTTTTGATGTTCTTTCTCTCTTAAGAAGCTATATGAGTATTTCTCATTCTCATGAGTTATCAATAGTCCCAAATTATGCATTTTCTTGAAATGTTTATGTTCCAACGTTCCTCTGTAATGACATCACAATACTGGTATATACCTCTTCCTTGGAGCATGTATCTCCAAGGCAGAAATCTATGTACAGTGATTATAGAACACTAGTAATCTATGACAGAATACACAAAATGCAGGCTTGTACCGTTCCCTTCAAAGATTCACCACCAGAGAGAAATTTGTAGAAAATCAGAAGAAATTTCACCAATGTAAGAACTTTTCTTATAAAGAGGTGAAACCTCATGAACTGCAGCTTGTAAATAAAAATAATATGAATACTATTGCCTTTTATTAAACATGAGGAGATAAAAGTAAGTAACAGGCTATCAACTGAAGCATGAGTTTCTGTCCACTGGTTATTTAGATGCATGTAGGTTCCATGCAAATGATGCGTCCCAGTTCCACCTAGACCAGAGAATACAGGGCTCGCATGAATCATTATTCATGGATGTGAATAAAGAGGTTGAAGCACAGAATGCCACAGCACTGTTGCTATGCTTTCCCAGGAATCTGGGTATCAAACTAACATCAGTTGCTATAGCGACATACTCCTACAGTACCTAGTATAATGCTGGGTATACAACAGATGCTTGGTAAGTGCAAAATGTGTGTTATCAGTGTAGCTTTGGAAAACTGGACAAGGGATGGCGGAAACAGGTGGGTACTTGGGCTTTTTTTAGGCATAAATTCTTTTTATCAGACAGGTATTGCTGCAGTGCATGCTGTTAATGATGCGAGACTTACAGAATCACAGGTGTCTACGAGAAGACAGACCAGTATATTAAGTTGAAGAATATGTACGCGGCTGGGAAAATGATCCTGGAGTATTTATCGATGGCGTGGGTGTTGATCCGCATGCTAACGTAGCTGTTCCGCTGGCTTTTCCTCTGCGGGGAGCTCCTCTCCGAGGCCAAGGTCAGCTGCACCATCATGCGGTCGGGCTTCTCTCCGTTCTCCGCCATGTAGTTGCCCAGGTCGTTCACCTCGCCATCGCTGTAGCTGCCGTCCAGCATCACGGCGCGGGCCTGGGGTAACCCGCAGGTGCAGGGAAGCTGCGGACACACAGGGGCGAGCTCAGCGCTTCCCCGGGAAGCCCAGGCCCTGCCTTTCTGTAGCGTCTTTTATTCCCGGCTGGGGGAAAGGTAGGAAAATAATGATGGTGTCACTGTGGGCATCCTAAAATACAGCTGGGAATATGCTGCTCTGGCCGGGCGTTGGCTCAGCACCGGCAAGGCCCAGGGTCCAATCCAGCACCACAATCAATCAGTTTAAAAATCCTAAAATAGCAGGTATCCATTTTTGTTGAACCAGAGTCTCCATATTGGGCTGGGGCTGGGGCTCAAGTGGTAGAGTGCCTGCCTAGCAAGTGTGAGGGTCCTGAGTTCAAACCCCAGTAAGGCAAAAATATAAAAAGTCTGCATACTGACTCTAAGGAAACAGCACAATGTCACACCAGAGACCCACAAGATTGTTCATGGCTAGATAAATCACCCTACCGCCCTCCCTTTTTTTGAGATGGGGTCTTGCTATGAAGCCCAGGCCGGCCTCAACTTTCCCATTCTCTGTCTCAGCCTCCCAAATGCTGAGATTACAGACATGTGTTACCATGCCAGGCACCAAGCCCTTAATAAAAGGGTTTTACAGATTACATTATTGTATGTGTTTGTGTTTGTCCTGAGGGCAGGAATGGGAAGGTGGGCATTGTGGAAACAGATTGCTACTATATGGTTAGGATTTGTTTGTTTGTTTGTTTTGGTGCACTGTTCCTGGAGGTACTGCAATCCAGACCAATAAGTGGAGTGGACAGAGAAAGCTCCTATTCCATCTCCTTTCTCCAAAAATCCATTTAATATATTTTCCTCAGGTAGAGGCCATATCAGTATTAAACTGATAAGAACAGATACTACATTGATCTTAGCCAAAAGGCCAAGAAACAATCTGTTTTTTTTTTAATTAAAAGATCCCTGACTAGCTTTACCAAAATCAAACCTATCAACAAAACTAAATTCTGGAATCTGGAATTTGATAGGAAAGTATACCAATGTCTACTACTAAATATCTAAAATTCTGGAGGAGATAACCACTGAATTGTGGCCTGGAGGGAGAAAGGAAAGGTGGGAGGAAAGAAAACTGAGAAATGATGGGAGGCTGGTGTCACATACGAAGGACCATTCCTAGAATGGAGGATGTCTGTCCCTGGAGGGCTCCCTCATTCCATTCTGTATTCATAAATAACTTGTTCCATAATATTAAATTGCTATTTAGTTTTGCTTTTGAGATTCTCTCACTGAACTCTGAACACGGTCAAGATGAAAGGACTGTGTCTTAGTTAAGTTTGTTTATCGGCTCCTGGTAAATGGCCGGTGCTGCATAAATGTTTCCGCCGATGAAAGATGTAACCCAGGGTAAATTTCACACTGTTGGAACATACATCATTCTGTTTGCTCTTGGCAATAACCTTGGGAAGTAGGCAGATGACACCATCTGTAAAATGGCCACGTTTTTACAGACAGGGTCAGACCTGCCACAGCCCCAGAACGAGAACAGGCTGCGTCGGGCCCAGGCTCCTCACACCACGGTTCAGTCACCTTCTCCCGCAGCTTCCGCCCCTTCCGCTCCTGCACCGTGGTCAGGTAGTTAACGGCCGCGTACTCCAGCACTGAGAGGAACACGAACACGAAGCTGACCCAGAGGTAGATGTCCACGGCCTTGATGTAGGACACGCGGGGCATGGACGCGTTCACGCCCGTGATGATGGTGGACATGGTCAGCACTGTCGTGATGCCTGCGACAAACGCTGAGTGAGAAGCATGCGCGCGTCTTTCACCCAATACAGGATGATTTTGTGCCTCTGATTCCTCCTGACAGTTCCTTTGGACCTCCACCCGCCCCTCTGTGTAGCAAACACCTCCTCATCTTTCAAGATTTAGCTTTTAGCAAGCTTTCCTGGTCCCCTTCTGTAGACCCTGTATCGCCATCATAGCATTGAGTCACCTTATCTTTCTGCAGAGAACCCCAGACATTTTGCTTCAAGACAATAAACATTTCAATTGTTTATAGAAAAGAGATTGATATATAGGCAGGTATATATATATATTTCTTGTAACTGCCCAATTAAGGGGGGAAAAAAAGGGCCCAAAGTTTATGTTAATATTTGTGTCCTCCCTGCTATGGAACCCTGTGGCCCTGGGCCTGTCTTAGCTGTTGGGTACCTCTGGCAACCACCCCCACAGTGCACTGGACTGCCCAACCAGCAATGGTGACTTGAGGACTGACAGTCAATTTTACCAAGGATGATGGAGTTTACTTCATTTTTAGGAGACAGATTTTATTTTTTTTTTTTCATTTTTCTTTTATTATTCATATGTGCATACAAGGCTTGGTTTATTTCTCCCCCTCTGCCCCCACCCCCTCCTTACCACCCACCCACCCCCTCCCGCTCCCCTCATCCCAGAAGAAAACTATTTTGCCCTTATCTCTAATTTTGTTGTAGAGAGAGTATAAGCAATAATAGGAAGGAACAAGGGGTTTTGCTGGTTGAGATAAGGATAGCTATACAGGGCATTGACTCACATTGATTTCCTGTGCGTGGGTGTCACCTTCTAGGTTAATTCTTTTTAATCTAACCTTTTCTCTAGTTCCTGGTCTAGGAGACAGATTTTAAAACCATAATGTCTATTTATTTAGCACAGTACATGTTGGAGTTACAGAATACCTATTAGAACACAGAGCATCTGTCTGTGGAAATTTGCCCAGGATTTCAAATTAAGCTCAGAACATTTGCTTGGCAAACATTAAATCACAGGGGATTGGGGTCACCCTTAGGGCCAGCTCCAATCTATTTCCACTGAAGCCTGGTGGGTCACACTCTCCCTTGCAGACCCTGAACCATCTGAGCAGAAGCAGTGTGTGTAAGTGGGCACAATACTCAAAGTTAGAAAGAGAGTTGATGCAACTCGCCGTTGATGGAAGACTTGAGATTCTCACTCCAGAGTAAGTACAAGAATTGCTGGGAGAGCTTGTTAGAAATGTAGTTTCCTGGTCCTCGCTCATAAGTTTGATTCTTCAGATAGGATAAGACCTATTTAGCAATTTTCATCAGAGATTCTGTCATGAAGATCCCTTGGGTCAACTTTTGAGAAACGCTGTTATAAAATATGATACCTTATACAGATGATCAGAGAAAGCACCCAAAGACCAGGAGCTTCCAACCTAGGACACAGATCTATAAAAAACTAAAGGTGGACTCTTCAGATGGACACTAGGAGGCACCTGGAAATTGTTCTGCTGTGCAACTATGCAATTTTCCATGCGAACACTATTTTCAAGTTAGGATGCCAAAAAGAGTATAGGACCAATTTGAAAAGAATGGTTTTATCTGAAAGGAATGAATTACCTTTATTTTTAGTTGCTTGGAATGTTCCTTACCTAAGGGCACTCTGGCAGGCACAGCTCTGTGGTCGATCCAGAAGGACACCCAGGACAACATGACCATCAGGGTGGCAGGGAAATAGGTTTGGAGCAAGAAGAAGAAGATGTGTCGACGCAGAGTGAAATTAATGTAGAGACGATTGTACCAGCCTGGGCGATGCAAGGAAGAAAAGAGAACACAATTCATCCATTCAGCTGCTTCATAAAACAAATTTTATTCAGGGAATCATAAATGTCTTCTATATTCCACTAGAACCATACCATACCTTTATAGGGTGGAAGTGAGAAAAAACTAGGGAACACAGCTATATGTTAACCCACCACCTGAGGGAATCCATCTCAAGAACTCTTTGGCTACCCCCCTAAACTCAAAGGGAACTCCTTGAGAAAGTCATTTAAATTCTTGTTAGGGCTCAGTAGCCTCACCACTCATCACCTGGGACTTATTAGAGACCCAGACTCTTGGGCTGGGATGCAGCTCAGTGACAAGAGTGCTTACCTAGAGTGCACAAGGCCTGGGTTTGATTCTAGGTTCCATTGTGGCTCAGACACTTGAGCCGTAGCTCCTCTGTTTAGCACTGGTCCCCACATGACTCATACACATGTCAAAGTTTGAGAAGCACTGATTTAAATAGCCCCTTTTGGGGAGGATGCATTTTAAATCAGGATGTAAAATTAAACACAAGATTGAATTTGGACACAGAGTGAATGATCCTTGATCCAGCTATGCTTTGCTCTACCCTTTGTGTTAGTTACAAGGAGAAAGTGAGCAAGGAGGAGGTGAAGGGAAAGAGAGGGTGATGGAAAGAATGGAAAAGGCTGGAAAGCAGGAGATGCCTAGGACTGAGAACAAAGGAGAACCAGCAGGACAACTCTAGAGTTGGCATCCTGGGTAATTATAGTGCATGAGACATGCCTCTTGGTACCAGCAAGGGATTGGGGAGGGGCAAAAGAACCAAGATCTGAGGGTGAGGAATACAGGGGATGTGCTGGGCTGCCACCCTCTGGAACAAAATGGTGCTTTCACAGATGAAAGATTATGGTGTACTGAAAAGGTGACACTTCCATGCATTGCCATGACAAAATACCTGGGAAAACCAGCTCCAGGGAGGAATTATTTATTTTGGCTCACAGTTTCAGAGGTTTCAGCCCACCACGGCAGGGAGGATGTGGCAGAACAGCACAGATCACATCATGGCAGCAGGAAGCAGAGATGCCCGCTCTGGCTGACTTTCTATTTTCCGTTCTATTCCATCCCTGTAGGCTCCAGTCTACGGGGTGGTGCTGCCCACATTCAGGGCAAGTTGGCCCCCCACTTAGTTAATCCTGTCTGGAAATGTCCTCACAGATGCACCCAAAGGTGTGCTTTACTAATCTGCTAGGTGCTGCTCAATCCAAACAAGTTGACAGTCATGATTAACCTCATATGCAGCCGATCCTACAGTTTTAGCCACAGAAACCTCTTGAAGATTTGAGCAAAACCATCCTGCAAGGTGATGGGTCAAAACGGAGGCAAGAATGAAGTGTTAACCTCAGCTTTAAGGGGCACAGGCCCTCAGAGCACGGCCCCAGGCTATGGGAAGGCAAGGCTGGCCAGACCCCAGTACACAAACAAACAAGAGACAGCACACCAAAACTAAATTTGCTTCTTGCTGTAGAGGAGGAGTTCTGGGGAGCATTTTGAGACAAGGTGAAGCTGGCAATGTGACTTCTCAAATAAACCTACTCATGTGGCTTATGTTTGAGTCTTACTAATACTTCCTAGGTTATCACTCTCCCCTCCCCCCCCCTTTTTTTGGCAGCACTGGAGTTTGAACTCAGGGACTCACACTAGCTAGGCAGGCACTCTATCACTTGAGCCACTCCGCCAGCAAGGTTATCACTTTTGATGCATTGGTGGTATCAAAAAATCACCTCCAGAGTCTGGAGGTATGGCTCAAGTTTCTGCCTAGCCAGTACAAGGCCCTGAGTTGAAACCACAGTATTGAAAAAAAAAATCACCTTCAAAGCAGGCATGATAGTACATACATGAAATCCCAGCACTGGGGAGTGTGAGGTAGGATTGTGAGTTCAAGGCCAGGCTGGGTTACTCTAAAAGACCCTGTCTTGAAAACCAGCTAACAAGACAAAGAAATTCCCTCCACCCAGTGCTTGCCTCTCACTAGACTCCACTAGGACTCCAGTCTTTGGTTTCAAATACAAATAACACAGGCTCTGCTCCCTTGACACCCAAGGCACACCTTTCCTAAATAGAGGGTGAACCACTACGGCCATGCTAAAGTCTCCAGACACAGCCTGCACCCACGCTCACCTGTGCTGCTGTAGAAGGCTAGTTTAGTGGTGGTATGGAATTCTTGGATGAGGAACTGAGAGAGTGAGATCCGCTCATCTGTCTTCAAGGAGTCATTGCCTTTTTTCCAGTAGAGCATGAGGTCATCTTCCGTGTAAGCATCTAGAAAGAGGGAGGAGGCAGCCATGACAGACCTGCACGCCAGGCAAGGTGGAAGCTATGTATCCTGAATTTTCACACACAAGCTGTTGGGATTGTGTTCAGACAGTCTGAGTAAACAAACTAAGGTTTCAACAAAGCACAAAAAACACCAAATCTAATTCTCCCCAGTATTCATCAGAGCAAAGCCCTCAGCTTAAAGGATCAAGATTCCTGAAAAAAGGACTCATCCCACAACCCAGCCTGCCATTATTAGGTTAAACCAAATGACATGTGGCTTTGTTGTTGTTGTTTTTGTTTTGTTTTGTTGCAGTGCTGAAGATCAAACCCAGGGCCTTGTATATACTAGGTAAGTGATTTACTGCCGAACTACATCCAAGCCCCAACACTGCTATTTTTTTGTAGATCGGAAATAGTTAATACCAGCAAGATTTCACATGGTTTAGCCTTATTAGCCAGGGCTCAGTTAGCTTTTTTCTTTCTTCTTTCTAAGTGTAATGATTCATCCATTAATAACAAGTACTTTTAAACACTATCAGATAATAAGGACTGCATTCTAGCAAGAGAGGATCCCTGAAGAAATGGGGGCAGAGCAAAACCTTTCTGTAAGTCTCCATCTGTGCCCACCTACTCAGGGTAAAGTGGAAATAAGTCCAAGATCATCATCTTCTCTGGAGGCACCACTTCCCTCATCCCTACCCCTTCAGGTGAGCCCACTTCTTAGTCAAGTTGCACAAACCCACCTGCTACCTGCACAGAACTGAGGTGAAACCTAACAGAGTTGCCCACCTGCACATCATTCTTTCTGGGGCTCCTTAGTCCTTGACCTGTGTAGGGGATGGTAGACTCCATGCGTCAGCATGGCTAGTGTACCCAGTTATTCAATCAGACTTCACAGAAGTCTGTGAAGGTACTTTGTAGATGGGACTAGCATTTACAACAGTGACCTTTAAGTAAAGAAAATTATCCTGAGTAATCTGGGTGGGACTGAGCCAGGCAGGTGGAGGCCCTAAGCAGAATGGAAGTTTTCTGGAAGAACTTCCATTTGTGGACTGTGGCCAAGAGTTCTCAGCCTGCCCAAGAGTTCCCCGCCTGCCCTCCTGATGGCCACTACTGCAGACAGAGGAGAAGGGAATACCCACGATGCCTGAGTCACATTGAAATACATCCAGTATAGCCTACTGGTACTGTTTGTCTGGTGGAACCCTGCCTGAAGAAGCTGAGTTACAGATGAAAGTGAAGCCACCTGGCTATACTAGGCTAACAAGACTCTGGAGCCCATGAACTTGGTATTCTAGCCTGGCTCTGCCACTCAACTGTGTGCCCAAAGCAAGTGACATCCCTCCATAGAACGTGGAGACTGTAACACTATTGCAGGGATCTTGCGAAGGTTGATGATGACGCAGCGAGTAGTCCTGGGTTTTACCACCCCCTTCTCCACATTCAGTGTCCTACAGAGCTCTCCAGTTGTTCCCTGCTGTGTGTGGTGTTGCCATCCCCATACTCCTGGCCCCAGATGTTTGGAGCCAGGGCCACTTGGCCCACCACCATAAGCTCAGGCCAGTTTACAAAGGTGCCCTGGACCCGTGAGAGTCCGCAGTGGAACTCTGACACTGCAGGAAGGCCAGTAGTGTGTGGGCTGGAGTCCTAGGGGACTCTGCCCAACAGGAAGGGAGCCGATGTGTGGAGAAGTAGGGACAGGGCTGCTAGCTTGGCCAAGGCGCCTCAGCCTGGGCTCGTCCTGGGGCCTGGTTTTCATATTTGTTGTTATTTTATTGTGGTAGAATATCTGTAACTTAAAATTTATCATCTTAGTCATTTTTAGTGTACAGTTCATTTCCTAACTATATTCATGTTGTGTAACCATCACCACAGGCCCTGCTCGTCCTCCCATGCGCCCAGTAAGCAATCGCTCCCCTATCTACCGCCCCCCCACACACCTCTGGCAGCCACTAATCTACTTTCCATGATTTTGACTAAATGGAATTGCACAGTATTTGTCTTTTTATGTCTGACTTCTTTTACCTAGCGTATTAGCCACAAGGTTCATCCATGTTGGAGCATGTGTCAGAGCTTCCTTGCTTCTAAGGGGAAATAATATTCCATGTGTGCGTGTATATAGCACATTTTACGTGTCTGCTCATCCGTCAGAGGACACTTGGGTTGCATTCACATTTTAGCCATTGTGCGTGGCACTGCTGTGAACGTGGGTGTACCAGTACATCTTCAAGACTCTACTTTCAGTTCTTTCCAGGATACGCCCAAATTGACCACATGGTAATGTGATGTCTGGCATTTTGAGGAACAGCCATTCTGTTCTCCACAGCACCTGCATCATCTCACACGCCTTGCCACGGTGCATGAGGGTTCCAAGTTCTCCACGTCCTCACCAACACTATTCTCTGTTAGTAGCCATTTACTGACTATGAGGGTAACTCTGAAGTTGTGATTTGTATTTCTCTAATGGTTAGTAGTGGCTCTGGGAGCTATGTGAAAACTCCTGTTTCCATAGAACAAGGTTTAAAAGCATTGCTGAGGGTATGAGAAAGATCAATTATAGGAGGAGATTTTTAGTCCAAATTTGTACCTGATTTTAAAATTTCACTAGACTTAGCCTCAGTGCAATTACTTTAAAGACAGTCACATGTGAGGAGCACACTGTTGCTACTCAGAGTGACACATAAGAGCTGGGTGCTGACTCTGGGCACAGGCTACTCACAGCTTTCAATTTCCAGTGAGCACGTTTGGGTGTCCAGGGGAAAGCGGCTGAAGTCCATGTTGCACATGGCAGTCACTGTCACCCTAGAAATGAAGGCAAAATCCAGGTTTTCAGAGCCTACAAGCACAATGTGATAAGAAAAACACGAAAAGCCCCTGCCTCCTTCCAACACAACAGCTGCCTCCTTCTATAATTCATAAGCGGCGTGTGAGGATTTAGTAAGCGGCTTCTGAGTGATATCCTCATTGGAGTGCTCTTAGGTATTTATGCTTAACCTGAGGATCCTGGTGAGGCAAGGAGAACGTCTCTGCTAACTAACATCTTAGCACATCTGATGGTCTCAATGTAAACATGTGAAGTAAGAACTCCTGTCCTATGGCCGCTTAAAAGAAGTTTAGGAGCTGGATGTGGTGGCATACACCTGCAATCCCAGCACTCGGTTTGCTGAAGCAGGAGAATAGAGAGTTCAAGGCCAACCTGGGTTAGGAGCATATGTTGTTCTACTGTTTTGGATAAATTCAAGTTCTTCCGTTCTTGTATTGATTTTATTGATATTCGCTATCACTTAGGCTGGTTGCCAGTTTTGGCAACGTTGATATTTTTATGTTGAGAGGAGTATCTACTGGTGGGCACAGATGTTTTGTGGAGAATCCGTGGAGATCAAAGCAATGGAAAACCACTGAGAGTTCTACAGCACTAACACGCAAGCCCTGGCTAACATAAAATGGTTCTGCTTCAGCGTTCACCCAAGAAAACAGGTTTCTGCATTAGAAGGCAAATAAGAACAGATTGCTAGCCTGAGTGGGGGGTTTCACGGCACACATGGTTAGTAACTGTGGCTGGTGCTGAATGGACCTATATTTCCCTCAACCACACAAGATGGCACATGCATAAACTGTAGAAGTGACACGGAAAATTCATGGCCCAAAAGAAAAAACCTCGCTACTGAAATCAGGGCTTGGTTATTGTTTTCTTGATAATGTAGACTAAGAAAACAGATTAAATCTAAAAGTGTGTTGTATTTAATGCCATTGCGTGGACTTATTCTCCTGATATTTGAAAGCTGACACCCAATTCAACAAAGTTGCTCATATCTTTGATAAGTGAATGATTTCACTTTTGTCTTACTAACATGAACGAAAATATCAAGCAATACTTATCAAATCTATGTCATTTGTTATCATGTAAGCCAGCAAATGCTTGCAAACATTTACTCATAGCCTGACTTTGTAAAACTATTGTCAGTGATAGAATTTAAAAACTGGTAGTATTTTCACAATAAAAAAATAAGAAATCATGCTCAAGTTATAAGAAATTTATAAAAATAGTATTATATATTTTATAGCATTTGTAAATCGTGAGCTATACATCCCTTACTTTAGTAATGTTTATAATGAACTTAAGTGTGTACCTTCCCCCCAGACAACCAGGGGTTCACCTGAACACCAATGGTCACGTGTATTAGGTCTGGGTCTCGTGGTGCCATGGGTTGGATTGTTTTGTTCATGAATTTTGAACCTAAAGACTCCTTGAAATGAAGTATCTCAGAGCCTCAGAAATCAGGGTTCCAGGGAGAACCAGCCCAACATGGCTTGGGGACAGAATTGTATGTCTTGAATGCTTTCTATGAGCAAGGCTATTGTAAGCCTTGGAGATGAAAATCCCATAACCCCACTCTCAGTCTGGTACTTCATTGTGGAGATCCAAGCCAGGATGAGAATTAAGGAATCATTACAAATATTCCTTTGGGGGGTTAGGGACAGAAATTCAGCCTCAACATCTCTGGCTCTAAAGATTCACTGTGCACCTATCCAAGGACCCTCTTCTTAGACACTGGTGTGTGGATACATTTATCTTTTCCATTCATCTCATGAACCACAGTGAAGTCTGTAAACCAAAATACACCATCCTTGCTGGCATGAGAGGAGTAAGTCATGGCAAACAACCTTGTCCCTTCCTTGTGAGGGCTTTAGCTCATCTATACACCCAGCCCCCACCAGTGATGTGACTACTGTAAGTTTCTAAAGCTGGCCGTGCACTAAATGTCACACTGTGCACAGGGATGAGGGAGAGCTTCTGTACACATTGCTCCAGGAGTAATTAAACACTTCTAAGGCATGTGAGCTCCTGAGAAGATTTTATCTTTGGTTGGTTGGTTGGTTTTGGTCTTGGGATAAAACTCAGGGCCTTGAGCAAGCTAAGCAAGCAAGCACTCTATCACTTGAGTCATTCTCCATCCCTTTTGCTTTTAGTTTGTTTTTCAGATAGGGTCTTGTGCGTTTGTCTTTTTTTTTGCAGTACTGGAGTTTGAACTCTAGTACTCTACCACCTAAGTTATTCTGCCAGCAGGGTCTTTGCTTTTGCCTGGGCCCACCTTGAACCTTGATCCTCCTACCTCTGCCTCCTGAGTAGCTGGGATTACAGATGTGCACCACCATACACACTAGAGTTTATTATTATTATTATTATTATTATTGGCAGTACTGGGGTTTGAACTTAGGGTCTTCAGCTTGCTAGGCAGGCACTCTAAAACTTGAGCATTTCTACCTATGCATAAAGCTATTTTTCCTTGATGCTGACAGGTTTGGCAGCTGCCGAAAAGTTAGAAGTTAGATACTCAGAGCCCCAAAGCACACTGGCTATAGTGAAACCAGTGCATGTCTTGGCCACAGAGGGACCTGTGCCCTTCCCACCTGAGGCTGTAGAGGACTTTCCCATCAGGCTGGACCCGCAGCATCACGTTGTCTGTGGTGGTGTCATGGATGAAGGAGCGCTTGGAGTGGACAAAAAACATGTCGGGGACCCAGATCTTCTTCACCAGCCGCCCATCAAATGTCATGCTCAGGTTGTTGGTGCTCGGAAAAGACAGTCGCTCGTCTTTCCAGTAGTGCCTCAGGTACAGGGTCATCGTGAAGTCCTAGGGACAAGGCACAGGGAACCCCACACACTGGGGTCAGATTCTGCACTCCTGGGGATCCATCCCCACTGGAGACTGAAACTAAGCCAAGAGGGGCCTGGCTTCTAGTCCCTGGGGTTTGCCCCTGGAGGTGGACAAGAACAATGCTGGGGGAATTCAGCAAGGGGCCTGTAGCAGGTGGTGTGTCCAAACCTCATCCCATCCCCAGCATTCATCTCTGCACTAGGAGCCTGCTGCCACCCACACCTATGACTCCAGCTGAAAGTGCCAGAGAGTTAGTGCCTGTGAGTCCTGGCCAGGGAGGATGGTAGGGTGGCGGTGGGGAAACAGGCTGGCAACCTTGCCCTCTGTTGTCCTAATCCTGAGCTGTGTGCTTGGCCCATTCCTAGAAAAGCCAGTGGGACAAGGGCTGTTGCAGCGGCTGGGTTGAGAACATGGCCCTTTTGCTGCCTTCCCTTCCCTGTTTCACTGTCCCACTCTGTTCTGGTGTTCCCCAAGATCACATCCCTTATGCTACAATGCTTGTCTCAGGTCTGCTTCTTAGGGGACCCAAACCTAGAAAATGTCCTAAAAAGTCCTATACATTAAGTGCTGTAGCATGTTCTGGTTTCTTTTTTACTGCACCAGAGAAAGACAGAGACAGAAACACAGAGACAGAGAAAAAGAAGGATAGAAGAAAGGAAGGAAGGTAGGGAGGGAGGGAGGAGGGAAGGAAGGAAGGAAAGAGGGACGCTCTTGCTGTGTCTACATTTCAGAGCCAGACAGACTGCAGGATAAGATGTGTCTGGCTCCTCGGTGGTCAGACCCTGCGGTTTCCATGGGAGAGCCTTTGCCCTTCCCAGAGAATGCAACCTGGCAGTGAGGTCCTGGCAGGATGGAGGAGGAGAGGAAGATCAAGTTTGTCATCTGGCTTTATCTCATATCCCTGAGGTAGCTTTGGACAAGTGACACAGTCTCCCAAAGCCACCTGTAAAACAAGTGTAGGAATTCCCACCTCCTGGGAGAGTCATGAGGACCGAGTGAGTGCAGACAGTAGAAGTCCTGCCCAGGTGTCTCCCGCCCTGCCTGTAGCCCTGGTCAGAGAAGCACTTACCATGTCGACCTCTGAGATGCTGTCCAAGCTCTCCACCTGCACATCCACGCCAACGGGAATGGCAGGGCCTGGGGACAGGGCAATGACAAAAGCATTCATTCTTTTTGTTTGCACTTTGCACAAGAAGTAGGCAAAAGGAGTACTTGCTTTAGAATCACTGAGTCATGTCAGATTTGAAGGTTTGGTCATGCCAACTTGAAGTCAAACCAAAGATGAAAAGAACAGACACATGGTCTAGCTCCCTAGAATAGCCCAGCAAAATGATGATGTGGTGGTGGGAGTGGTTTTTGTTTTTTGGCAGTACTGGGGTTTGAACTCAGGGCTTCATGCTTGCTAGGTAGGTTCTACCTTTGAGCCATTCCTCCAGCCCTTTTTTTACTCTGGTTATTTTGGAGATGGGATCTCACATTTTGCCTTCACCAGCCAAACCAGTAGCTGGGCTGAAAGGCATGTTCTACTGCACTCAGCTTTTTTCCATTGAGATGGGAATCTTGCAAACATTTCTGCCCCCAGGTTAACATGGAACAAGCTAGCTAATCTCAGCCTCTCGCAGAACTTGGAATAACAAGTGTGCCCCACGTAACCCAGCTTTCGGTTGAGATGGGGGGTTCTTACAAAGTTTTTGCCTGGGGTGGCCTTGAACCGTGACCCTCCCAATCTCAGCTTCCCAAGTAGCTTCTGGCTATGAGAAGGCATTGCTTGGTAATAATAGCACTGGAACTGAAATTCTAATACAGGGAATGGATTCCTGCCCTTCCTCCCCTGCTTTCAGGATTTGGGTCAGGCGTGGTGCACACTGTGTGGACTAAAAAGATGCTTTGGGATCCAATAGGCAAAGGTGACTGGAAGAAATAAAAGGCGTGAGGATGATTTCAAAAGCAAATATTTTTCTCCAGGAAAAAAAAAAAAAAACCATAAGGAGGAAAACCCTATTTGACGCTAACAGGGTTGCACCCAGCAGCTGCAGGCTAAGCTTTAAAGGGCTTCGATCTTCTGCACTGAGTCACTCTTTTCTCAAGCTGTTTTCATTTAATTAAGCCCTGCAGACCACACTCAGCCCTCAGATATGTGCCAGACTTCATCAGCCAGCTCCCAAATGGGAACAAATGTAGTCCAAGGTCACTGGACTGAATTTCAGGGCATTTTCAGGAAGCAGCTTTGACTGTGGCCGCCCCGTCTTCCTGCAGCAGGTGGCTGGCATCACTGATCTTGAGTCAGCCTTCTCAAGAGCAGTGCCCTGAGGACAGCTGGCTGGCCCGGCCTGCCCACCCCCGGCAGGTGCTCCTGACAGCCCAGAGCAGCGAGGACGGATGCTCAGAAGGTATCCTGAGCTTGGTGCTTCACCCACTAATGCACAACGGGCGCAGATCTGATCACCAAAGCTGGATGGTCCCTGGGCTCCATTTCCTGCCCATGGCCAGGTAGAAGGACCCTAAGAAAGAAGACAACCCCACAGGAAGTCATGTCTCATACCTCCAAAGCCAGGCCTCATGCTGAAATCATGGTCATCTATCCTCAGTAGTTGTTCCGACTTTGTCAGAGGCGACTTGGTGATGTCAGGGCTCCGTTTCAGAATTGGGCTACAGAGGTGAAGGGGGGAACAGGTTGATCACGTATTCTAACCAAAACACATAAAAAGCACTTATATTCTGACTTGATCTTGACAGGTCTGCTAGGAAGTGTTATTTCTTCTTTCAGCGTCTTCTCTCTAGCTTTCTGGATAAATAAACTGACTAAGATGGTCAAGACAGAAGTTAAGACAGTGGCTCTCAACCATGACACAGTTTTAAATAGCAATGCATGAACCCTGTTTTAGAAATTCTAATTTGGGTGGTCTGGGGAGGGGCCTGGAAACCGGTGTTTTTGAAAGCTTCCTAAGGCTAGGGTTATGTGCAAGGCTCTGAGTTTGATCTGCAGCAAAGGGGGAAGGGCTTCCTAGATAATTTTAGTATAAATTGCTGAATCTGAGCTTACTAAGCCCAACCTCCCCAAGGCACTTTGACCATTTTGGGGGAGGTTAGGCTGGAAGGGAAGTGAGAGGGTGTGGCTCTGAGCCTGGTACCCTTGACCTTTGTTGGCCACTCTGTGGAGGGAGGTAGGCTTGCCCTCAAGTCAAATGCCACCCACTCTGTCTCCTAGACCATTTTTACCCAGGGCCATTTTCACTTTACAAATTGCAGGGTTTGACAATTTTTTAGAAATGCAATAAATTTTCACCGTCTCGCTCCCATCCACAGGTTCTTTTTTTCTTTCTTTCTTTTTTTTTTTTTTGGTCTATTTGTCCAGAGTTTTTTGTAGAAATAAGTAAACACAAACATATATTCTTGGTCCTTGCCTTCTATGTACACAGTTAACATTATGTTAATTCTTCTATTGCTTTTCCTTTTTAAAAAAATTTTTTTGGTGGTACTAGGGTTTGAACTCAGGGCCTCACACTTGCTAGGCAGTGCTCTATCACCTGAGCCACTCCCCAGCCCTTTTTTTGTATTGGGCATTTTCAAGATAGGATCTCCTGAACTATTTGCCCCGGCTGGCCTCAAACCATAATCTTCCTGATCTCTGCCTCATGAGTTGCTAGGATTACAGGTGTGAGCCACTGGCACCTGGCTTTGCTTTTGCTTTAATATGCCTATTGTTTGTTTGTTTATTTTTTCCACACCAGTGTACCCTAAGTCTCTTACTCTTTTTATACTGCCATGTTCCATGAATGACTGCACCATGTCCAGTCATGTGACCAGTCCTCTAGTGGCAGACTTTGACACAATATCTTTGAACATCCCTCACCTAGCCATCAGCACAATCTTTGGAATCCTCAGAAATAGCTAACTACTTCCTAGCTCTTCCTTATGATGACACCAGGCTGTCCCTTCTCCAGAAGACCACCACATGTCTCCCTTTCCCCTCTGCATAGGGCCACATCAGGATGGATGCACAGGGATCATGTCACCTGTAGCATGCGCTGGACAGGAGTGGGGAAAAGCTAAGAACGGAGAGCAGCCAGATCATTGAGGGCAGAAGCCTGGTCACATCAGTACATTGTGTAGTGCTGGCCTGAGTAGACTTTCAATGGAGGCTAGTTAAATGAAGGGAGGAATCTGCCCCTAACCTGGGCACCTGAGAGACTAAATGAGGGGTCAGATTCATCAAAGAGATTGAAAAATCTACCGTGAAATTTATATGGAAACACAAGAGGTCACGAATAGCCAAGGCAATACTCAGTCAAAAGAACAATGCAGGAGGTATCACAATACCTGACTTCAAACTATATTACAAAGCAATAACAATAAAAACAGCATGGTACTGGCACAAAAACAGACATGAAGACCAGTGGAACAGAATAGAGGATCCAGATATGAAGCCACACAACTATGAGCAACTTATCTTTGACAAAGGTGCTAAAACTATACGATGGAGAAATAGCAGCCTCTTCAACAAAAACTGCTGGGAAAACTGGTTAGCAGTCTGCAAAAAACTGAAACTAGATCCATGTATATCACCCTATACCAAGATTAACTCAAAATGGATCAAGGATCTTAATATCAGACCACAAACTCTAAAGTTGATACAAGAAAGAGTAGGAAATACTCTGGAATTAATAGGTACAGGCAAGAACTTTCTCAATGGTACCCCAGCAGCACAGCTGAAATGGTTAAAAGACCTAGCCAGAGAAAAGCCATTAATCAGGTGCCACCTGTTTTAAGGGGTTTATGAAAAATCTGATTCCCATAGAGACGAGGAAAGCAGAAGGAGCCGAAGCGGGATGTGGATAAATGGTTGTGTTGGTTGTGTTCACTTATGCTTCACAATGGCAGCTAACACCCATTGTCTCGCTTCTGTACCTGGGCTAGCTTGCTTCGCAATGGTTGTTGAACAGGACATGGTTTTTGCCTTTCTAAACCCTGCTTAAAGTCAGAACGGGACTGCTCTAAGGGCCAGTGACCTGTTGGTCAGAGCAGTCGCCAGCTGGCAAATAAAGACTCTCCTTTAAAGTCCTTTTTGGGTGGTCGTGCCTCATTCGACTCATAACATTTGGAGGCCCCAGTGAGATCTGTTTAACGACCCCCAAAGACCCTGGTAGAGACTTGATCTCTTAGGACTCCATGGAGCCCAATAGGGTGGAGGCCCTAGGGGGCGGCCTCTGAGAGCTGTTCCTCAGCCCCAGGACATACCTCCTTATCCTCACAGAATGGAGTAGAGACATCAGTCCTCATAGCAGAGTCATCTGGTCAGGAAAACCTCCGGAGGTAAGGGGGATTCAGGGGAAGGCTGGATGCAGCATTACTTCCCGAATCCCAGGTGGTGGCAAGACGTCGCCCTGACCCCCGGCCTGTCTGGTCTAGTTCTGTGTGGCCACAAGTCATTGTCTTTGTTCCGTGTGTCTGTTTTGTCATTTGTGTTTAACATTTTTAGAATACCCCAGGCGACCAGAGGACAATTGGAACTGCAACATGTGACAATCTTCATTTACTTCCAGCCCTTTGCAGTGTATGCTGACTAACTTTTCTTCTTTCCAGCAGAAGGCTTTATACCTGGGGGCCTCTTGTGATGCCTTTACACTGAGAAAACTCTGTGAATTAGATTGGCCTTCACTCGATGTGGGATGGCCTGCTGAGGGGACCTTTGATTTGCCTACAGCCTATGGGTGGAACGGCCCGGCCACCCCAGCCAGATTCCTTACATTCTGACTTGATTGAAGTCTTACCTGAAAAGCCTTCCTGGCTACAAAAGTGCATAAAAGGAGGCAAAGGCTACTCAAAGGTTCTCCTATCCACTAAGCCCCCCAAACCATCATCATCTGCACATCCAGAAGATAAAAACGCTTGTCCTCTATAAATGACTTTTAGATATAAATTTTTCAGCTACCTCTAAGCACTACATATTATGCCTGTACTTGTCCACTGGTTTAAAGACAAAAAGAAAAAATGAGGAAAAATGATTCAAGGCCAAAATGGTCACATTTAAAAGATACCTCAGATTGTAATCATTGCTGTGTGTGCATTTTATTTACCAATGCTGTGTGCATAACAGACAAGTTCATCTAAAAATATCTAGTCCTAGATATTTAAATTATTTGATGTATTTAAAAGTAATAATATGTATAAATAGCTTTTTAAAAACTTGGAAAATACTGTGTTTAAAAATGGAATTGTAAAATCACCTCTAAACAATGTACTGTCTAGACTTGTTTATTGGGTTGAAGGGGGTAAATAGAAAAAAAGCTACAAAAAGTATTTTGTTAGTATGTGTTAAAAAATTTCAGAATACACATTACCCTATATGTTGTGTGTTTCATTTAACTCTGCTGTACTGTATATATTGTGTAATACTGGACAAATGAGTCCTAATTTTATAATACCTAGTTTCTAGATATTAAAGAGGTTGTCAATGTATGATTTATGTGCCCTTTTCAACCACTGATCTCTATAACTGGAAACAACAAAATCTGTCTTTTTCTGACGAGCCCCAGGGGCTAATCTCTCTTCTTGAGACTCTGTTTTTCACTCACCAGCCTACTTGGGATGATTGCCAACAGCTCTTACAGACTCTCTTACAGCTGAAGAGTGAGACCGCATTCAGCGGGAAGCCAGAAAAATTGTCCTGGGCCCAGACGGGACTCCTACTGGGAATCAGGACTTTCTGGGGACTGTTTTTCCCTTGGTTCGTCCTAACTGGGATCCGAACTCTCATGCAGGTAAGGAGGCTCTCGCCAACTATCGCCAGCTCCTTCTTATGGGAGTTCGAGCTGCAGCCTGGAAACCCACAAATTTGTCTAAGCTGAGTGAGGTTACACAAGGCCCACATGAGTTCCCTGCAGCATTCCTGGAGCGCCTCCTGGAGACATATAGGACATACACTCCTATAAACCCAGAGGCGGCAGAAAATAGAAGGGCAATAAATATTGCTTTCACTTCCCAGTCGGCCCCAGACATTAGAAAGAAATTACAAAAAGCAGGAGAGATTTGAAGGAGAATTATTATCAGAATTAGTAGAAATAGCACAATGTGTCTGTAATAATAGAGACACGCCAGAAGATAGGCAGGCCAAAAGCCTTTCAAAGGTGATGGTGGCAGCTCTGCAAACTCCTGCCTCCAGGCCCTCAAGAAGTTCTGGGCCTCCTGCCAACTGGCAACTTGCAAGAAACCCCAGGGCCCAACTGGAAAAAGGCCAATGTGCTTATTGTAAAAAAAGGGGACACTGGAAAAACAAATGCCCTAAGAAAAAAAAGCTGGGCCGAGACCCCTTACACAAGTTACAAGCTACCATTTCCTTCCAGGAAGAGGAAACTTATCTGGACACCCAAGTCCAACCTCCTATCAAATTGTTGCTGACTTGTCCCTTAAGTGAGGAATATCTTCTATATATGACAGAACAAAACCCTCCAGAGACCTCCTACAACCCCCTCTGGATCAGAAAAACGTTGCCAGATAGAAGGATATTTCTCCCCCAGTCTTTGGGACACACGCATATAAAGGACCTTCATGACAACACTCACTTAGTTGGCTCGAGAGTTCACTACTAGGTACAGTGTGTGCCAACATGTTAACCAAAAGGGACCATCCTTGACTGAGCCAGGAATGAG